AATTATATCTTTATAAGAAATATTACCTTTGGAACTACTTGTCCAAGTTTCATCATCATCAAAATGGGCATCTCCTCCGTAATTTGGCCCAGGAGGAAAAGCATGAGCCAGCAGACCAGAGGGGCCATCAAATGGGTAGAAGTCACCATGCTCTGCACAAAAGCAAGAGTTGAGAATCTAATTATACCCAGTAGTGCCTAACACAGGAGCTTAATGAATTTTTGTTGAATTTTGTAAAAAGCAATGAATGACTTAAAGAAGAAATTAAAAACTAAGAGGCAATTAAGGAGCAGAATATACAAATATTTCAAAAATGATTCTGCATCATTACCTTTAGTTCCAAAAGAGATCATGATATCAGCAGTGCCATTGTGAAGTCTGGTAAAATTCAGAGGTGTCACATCAGACCAAACTTTGAAGGCTTTTTTGAATGCCTTTTCCACTTCAGAATGAGTCATGTCAGGGGTATAATTCACAATTCTATTCAACAGAAAACGTTTCAATTAAATTTTTAGAAGGTGAAAACTATTTTAGAATATATTTTCTTGGAATATAGCTTTTCAACTCAAAATGCAATGATTCTCTAGAAGTTCTTTAATAAGTTTTAAAGAACTTATTAATTATGATGTCATACAAAGATTTAAAATGAAGCATTCAATCAGACATTATGAGTATCTCCAAATAACTGACCTTTTGGCATTTTAAATTTAAAGTATTCAGATGTTTAATAAAACTTATATTACATGCTAAAAGTTTTCAATTGTATTGCTATCACCTAAATAGATGAAATAGTTCTATAAAGTTCGTAGAAAGAGTAGAACTCTCTCTTTTTGGTGTTGTTATAATAAATATGCTTAATGCACTATATTTGCAAATTTTATTAAACTTTATTTCTATTTCTGTTTTGATTCATATCTAAAAGATATACTTTGAAATTTCCAATAAAAATTAATGCTGGTTACAATAACATTAGTTGATGTTATGAGACATTTTCATCAACAATATTAAAGTTATTCCTGGACTTACTTAATTTCCAGTTAAATATCTAAAAAAAAAAATGGGACCATACATGTTCTGTCATCTGTAGCTTATGCTGAAAATTAGACATTTACTACTATAGAAAACTAATAAAAATTAAAGAGACATAGCCTATGATTTACCTGTAGGTTAAGTTCATTTTGGACCATTTGAGAGTTCTAGGGAAAACATTGTATTCACCCACATCAGGGACCCCACATCTTGGTTTTTTCATGATGTCTAAGGTCTTATCGTCAAGTTTGCCGGTCACCTCTAAGCCAAAAAAAGACTGCATTTCTCGAAGCCTGTCAACCATGGAGCTTGCTGCGGTCTTCTTCAGGATGCCAGCGGGGTTCAGGGGATGGTAGTATGATCTGAGGTAGCGCTGGAAAAGAGACCAAAATACCCTGCTTTTAAAAGAGAAGGGCATTTATGATATATTTCGCACCATTGGGACTGGCAAGATACTCTACCTCTGCATATTGGAAGTCTTCCTCAGACCGATCCTCGTCATCCTCATCATTGGGAAGGGGCAGGGACCAACAAGGAGTCCAGCTCAAGAAGAGGAAGGCAGCCAGGACACCTGAGTGCATCTTGAATGGCTGTGCCTGCAGGCTGCTGTCTTTCCATAGACCAGCACCTTTACTTTTATAGACCTACAATGGTGAGTCATCATTTATGGACAAGTTTCAACTTCCTGGTCTGTTGAAGGTAAACATGCTTACATGGCGACTTTTTTTTTTTT